AAGATGCTATGTAGAATGTTTGACCTGGTTCTGACTAATAGTTTTTTTGATTATAGCCCATGCTTTTCCCAAAAAATGGCTCTAAAATTACACAAATTTTTTATTACATTTTCTGATACATATTGATGTCCTCAAGCTGTGTAGAAAGTTTGAGCTGATTCCGACTAATAGTTTTGGAGTTACGACCATTTTTAAAAATCAGCAAAATTCTAAAAATACCCTGTACTATAGCCCATAGTTTAGAGGAATAGAGAGCTGAGCTGTCCCAATTGCCCATGCTAATACACGTGGGTAAACTTTATGCTCCACCCTCCAACCACTCCTAATAACAACAGTGTAGATATTTTAAATGGATGTGAACCTCGATGCATAATGAACTGTACATGCTAAAACCTTTGAGAGGATTTCTCACTGGATGACTGGAACAGCGCAGTAGTCAATATACAGTCTAATGTAGGTGAGTATTATTATTGCACATCAGTAGAACTTAGCATAATAAACTGTAAATGATGAATATGAACTTAAACTTGAGTTGTGTCATGTGTGTGCCATTGGAATCTGCCTCCTTTTGTTCTCTCTTTTGTAAGATCCTTTCCTACCATTATTGGGGCCGGGGTACTGCATTGGTACAAAAATATATTTTCGTGGATGATCACTCGTCCACAAATTTTAACCTCATGAATTCTTAATGACAATAGTGGATAACAGGAACAATATATTAGGACAAAAATAGGGGAAGGTTTAAGTATTAATATTTACAATTAATAATCTGTATTTGAGGTTCCCGTATTAAGTGGCAAGGCATAAGTTTCAAGGATGGGCTTGGTATTAATCTATTTTACTAACTTAACAAATTTAACTCATCTTTATAAATGTATATTATATAAACGCTGATCTTCTTCATTATTATTTCTGTATCTTAAAAAATAGTTATTGTTTTATTTTAAAAAATTCAATGCATGTTCTATTTGTAGTGCTAATGAATGAAGAGATATGCTAGCTTTAATACTTTATAGAAGCAAAATACAATGACTCTGAAGGTCATTATGATGATTTACATGTCTCCTTAGGATATTGCTGCTGTTTATATGGTAAAGAGTGTTACGTAGCTATTATATAATAATATCCTTTATGTTCATTCTACTATTTATCATAGAGAATGGATGTAGAGAGCTAATGAATCAAAGTTATTAAGCCATTATTGAGCTTTATCTGATCCATCAGTACAGAAAGCAGTGGCACTATAGTTATAATGGTAGGTGCTTGTTTATCATGTTTTAGTTTAACATTATAACATGTTCAGGTTGCCCGTAATCACTCAGACCATAACTCAGATGTGTCGTTAGTGGAGGAATGGTTTATTTGCCAACTATAGGCTGTTACAGTTTTGGAAGTCAAGAGAAAGGTCTATTAATGG